CAGAAGGCTTATAGGGCGGTAGGACTCAAGTTGAGTTAGCGGCTTACCGGGTTTGGCGATCATCACAATTTTCGCATGTTTCCATTGCTTCGGAAAGTGGCCAAGGCGGAGCATGGAGTTGAAAATTGTGGCGAGCGCCATGACTCCTTTGCGTGGGAGAGCCTTAGCTGCTCTGTTGTCGATTTCGTCGCATCCTGGGGTCTTCTTTAGCTCAAGCATTTTCAGCTGTGTCCCGATTTCCGCGGGGGAGATGCTTCTTATCGGGAGAGCCATCTGCAGTGGAGCGTCCAGTGACTCGGCTACTTTACGGCGCTGTGCAACGTCTGCGAAGTCGAATGGCTTGAAGGTTGTCTCCAAGTAGTCAGCAAACGCGTTGGCCTTTTCCTCGTCCGATCGGAGCCAGAGGCCAGAGTGGTCCGTGATCGGGGAGGTAAAAACTGGTTGCCTCTTAATGCTTCTGGTGAGCTTCCACACTGAAAAGGTGCTGTTGCCGTCATGCCCAGTTGTTTCGAGGAAGCTGTCTAGATTTTCCGTTCGAGTCCTAGCCAGCAGTCGTCTGAGCCGGTTGGACGCGCTTACCATTTCTGCCTTGGTAGAGAGGTCTCCGTTGCGGATGTACAGCCTCCTTAGACGTCTTTTGTCGGCAAGGAGACTCCTGGCTTCAGGGCTTAGTAGGGACCTTCTGAAGGTACGAGAGTGAGGCAGGGTTTGCGGGGCTGCACGTCTAGCAGCTTCCGTAATTTTCGCTGTGAGGTGGTCAACGTAGCTCTCCAGTTCACTTGCCGTATTTATGGTGACGTTGAGCTCTAATGTGTCCTCGAGGCAGGCCCGGTATACTCCCAAGTTAGAGCGCGGCGGGAGCATTTTGCGGATTCCAACTTCCCACTTGGGAGTCTCCTCGAGCTCAATCAGTAATGGGAGGTGATCCGACGTCAGGTCAAGGAGGCTTCGTATTCGCAGCTGTTCCTGTCTGAATCCCTTGTAGAGCCCGAAGTCAAGTGCACTTGGTGTTGCAGTAGCCCTATATGGGTAGCACGTTGCCTCTCCAGTGGCTATGACTTCGATGCCTTCATTCTCAATGGCAGAGAAGAGCGTTCTCCCTCGGGGGCACATGCGGTAGTTTCCCCACCAGCGATGTTTGGCGTTCCAGTCTCCTCCTGCCAGGAATTTGGGGCCAAGCTGGTCGAAAAGGGCTCGAAAGTGTGCCTCAGTCACTCTCAAGGCCGGAGGGCAGTATACAGAGGCGAGATTGAAGTCGCCTCTGCTGGATCCGAGTCGGATAGCAGCAGCTTGCATATGCCAGTGGCAGGATGACTCAAGTGAGTGGTGCGACAAGGACGACCTGATCAATATTGCTGCTCCTCCATGTTGGCTGTTATCTGGGTGGTTGGCGGTGTGGAGAGTGTAGCCTGGCACTCTGAGGGTGATTCGAGAGCAGAAGTGAGTCTCCGTGAGCAGAAACACATCGATGTGGTGGAGTTCGATGAAGGCTGTGATCTCATTCGCCTTCGAAAAGACTCCGTTGGCGTTCCATAGTGCTATCCTGAGGGAGCTCATTTTAGGCACTGTTATTTTTGGCGCTAGTGTGCATTAGCGCTTGTAAAAGAGTCTGTATGAGAGACATCAGTTGGTCGAATCTGGCGAACATTTGCTTCATCATGAGCTCAAGGGCTGAGTTGGGGCAGTTGTCGGCAACAGGTTGCGATTGGCTGGGAGTACTGCCAGTGTTCCTTCTGCGAGACGATGAGCGGGCACTGCGCTCTGCGGGCTGGGTACCGCGGAGGACGCTGGCAAAGGATTGTTGGCCAGGCACGAAGCTGCAGGCAGGAGCGGCTGTTTTGGGGCGGGGATCTCTGGAGCGGCTTGCATCTCTGCCATTTGCCTTGTGCTGGTTTTTCTGCTGGAAAGCATATTGCAGGTACTTCTTGCAGCCTTTGAAGTTTGCTGCGTGTGCTTCTCCACAGTGGTGACAACACCGATTCTCGTCCTTGCCAAGTGTGCACTCGTTGCTTGGATGGTTGTCCCCACACTCCTTGCACACATAGTGTCTCGAGCAGTAAGATTTTGTGTGCCCGTACTCTTGGCATCTGTTGCATTGTACAGGGCCCGACGTCTTGCGAGGCTTCTCCCACGAAACTTTGTGCCTGCATAGTACTGTTATTGATTTGACAAGGTTATTGTTCTCCGCTTTCCTCAGGTCAACAAATCTCATATTTAGAGGTTCGTTATTGACTCTGCTACGCGGGGTATATATGCGGACAACGTGGTGCCCCTTTTCTGCCAATTGCGCTGAAATATCTTCGGATGCGACCTCGTGGTGGATATTTCGTAGAACTATGCGGTACGGCCGGTCTTCTGCAAGCTGGTGGTGGTGAAACAGGCAGCCGTTCTCGCGAAGGTGCCTTGCCAGCGTTCGGTATTCGTCTGAGTTTCGGCATTGGACGATGCAGTCGCCAGAATTAAGCGATCTGACGGTGTAAGTGTCCGCGCCTAGGACGCTGTCTAGTTCCTTGCAGAACTTGGTGAAACTGAGGACGTTTGGCACAGTTATTCTCGGCACCTTAGAGGCAGGCCGCTCATTGGGAGGCGCCGTCTGGGTGGGTTGCGGGTGTGCGGCAAGCTTTTTATTTGCCGTTTGTTGCCTGCTGGCCCTTGCGCGAGCTGCGTGCGAGGTGGATGGCCTATCATCTACATCCTCGTCGGCGCAAGCTTCCTTGTTGGTGGCTAGTTCTACTTCCGTGTCCATGTCGCTTTCCTCTTCGTCACAGAGGGCCGCAAACCGGTTTTGGCTGGCTTTCTTGGTTTCGGTGGTGCTCGCCTTCTTACGGGCGATACGGGGGGAGAGATTGCCACCTTCTCTTTTTGTGGCCTTAAACCATTGACCTTGCCAAGTACGTGAAGTCTTGGGCGGGTAATTATTCAAAAACGCGTGGAGATCCGGGCTTGTAGCAGGATTCGCGCCAGGAATGGACGGGATTGCGGGGCCTTGGGAGCTGATGCCATGTGCGAGGGACGACGTTACCGTAGTCGTTCCTAGGGAGCAGGCAGTTGTGGTGATGCACGACGTGGTGAGTAGCGTAGTACCCCCGCACAGCGAGATGTATGGCGGTAGCACATTATCCGACGGGTTGTATATAGGTGACGCAGGATAGTCGGGGATGAGTGGATTCGGCTTGTTGGACGCCATTAGGTGAGATGTTGACCAAAATTTACTAGCTGCACTTATTTACAAAAATCTCCAGTATTTTTGTGAAAAGTGACTTTGGTGAACGGGGAGCGAAAACGGTGACTGGAAAGTGTCAGCACTGTCACGGTCAGTGACTGACTTGCCAGCACTGATTGTTCTCCTATTGGCTAGTGCTTTACTTGTGTTAGTGAGTCTAGGCAAAAGCTCTCTCGCGAAAGCTCTGCTCACTCACACGCACTCACACACACTACAGCTGAGTTAAGGCGATCAGCTGAGCGCAGTTTGAGCTTAGCAAAAGCTTGCTCTCTTACGCTCGCACGCGGTTGCACTTTTGTGTAAAAAAAAAATTTAAATGTTTATATATGTTTATATATATATATAGTTTAGCTGCCAGAGGCAGCACAATTGTTTTTTTTTCGCGCTCTGCAGGCGCGATTTGTTTGTTAAGCCCTGGGGCGGGCTTAGTTAGTGTCACTGTCACTTTTGGTTTGTTTTTTGCCTGGGATGCACTGAACATACACACGCACGGGAATGCTATAAAATTCTAAAACTGAGTTGGAGAAATTTTATTTAAGCTGCAAATTTCAACACATACAAAGTTTAGTTTATTGTAATATTATTATAATATCTGCATCAATATACGAGTCATGGCTATTTAATGTCTGGATTTGGCATATATCAAATATATTAAAAGCCAGTTAATATTATGTAAGAACCCTTCTGAAATATTGAGCCGAAGTCGAGCTGATGATGAGAAAGCATTCAATGTGCTTGAGCTCATTTGTTTTCAGGGCCCAAGTTTTCGATTGATTTCCATATTTCAGTCTAGTTTCGTATTTTGATTCCATAATCTGCGATTGGGGAGGAGTATTTCAATAAGAATTGGACTACATACCGGATCAGGTGACTTCTTTGTGGGTTTGAAGACGATTCATCGCTCAACCCCATGAGCTCTAAATACATATGGAAACACTTGATAGCAATTGGAGGATCATCAATACAAGCTGAGTTTCTTGGATAAAGCAAAGGAATAACCACAGGAATCGAAAATTCTTCACATTTGTTGGGATAGTGATATTTTAAACTATGGCAACTTCTCAATTCAAGGCAAACATTGTCGCGTTGAAGAAGACAACTCCGACACCATATACCCCTATATATAAAATTGTTTGTCTAGACTGACTGAATGACTTATTGACTGATTGACTGACTGATTGGTGATCACTGTATTTGCCTTATGTGATGAAGGTTGCTTACCATTCGATTGGCCCTCGAACTTTATATTAACGATCTTTGTGAGAATTTATTTTATACGTTGATCAAAGTATTCATAAACGAAAATACGGCTAGACTAACATGTGCGAAAGCATTGATTGCAACACTTGTTTCTTTATTCGATGCACTTATAACTTATTTTTAAATAGAAGCGGATTTCTTGATTGGTTGATTTTTCTCGGTCGTGTTCAGCCTACTGAGAGGCAACTTCAAGGCCCCCATAGATTTTTTTGTATCCACCTTTATATACAATCAAATAAAATTTTGTTTAATATCGAATTCGATTTCATTTCAGGATACCTTCGGAAAGTCACTGAGCATTCCCAGCTATGAGCAGGGCCATAGCTTGCAGGACAGGCTGTGAATTTTCCTCTACCTTTCCTATCTTCTGAACACTCTTTATATTTAGCTTACCTTAGTAAATTAATATAGCAAATTAAGATTATTTTTAATTTTACCCAAGAACACTTTGTTCCTACTTACAAGCTTCTGCTTAGATGTAGGCTCTAATAGCACCACTGACGAAATTAGCTGTGAAAAGGCGCACAGCTGGTCGGAATGGCAAATAAAGCACCTCCATCGGTCGGTGATGCTATTTAGAAAATTATATTTTTTTTAGCATATAATTCTATTATCTATTATATAATCCATTGAATAATGAAGAAGATACTCGCTTTGTCGACCATTAATAATAAATAAAAAATAAATTTGAATTTGTTTGTTTTTTATACCGGTCAATTGTGAATTTTTGTTGGGATAACAGCATATGAATCTGTTTATATATAAATTGTAAAACAATTTTAGCTTTTTTGCAATAAATTGCTTTACATTTTTGTTTTTATATATTATTTTCCATTGATTTTGGGGCGTATAAGCATTTTGACTGTCTTCAAGGTGAAGAAATATTCCCAAAATATGGCATCAGCTTTATCCACCTTATGATCATAGTATTTGCCATTTAAATTACTAAAAAAAAAGAAAGAAAACACTATCAAAATTAATTGCATTTAAATTGTTTTGACAAAGCTGTGCCGATCAATAGCTGTGAACGGAACCACCAGCCACCACAAAATTTGTTTTCGCTTGCGCAGTTGCCAGAGATAAGTATAATTGTCATTGTCACGATCGAATGTGGTGAATTTCTGATGTTTGTGGTATTGCAAGCGATCAGCTGTTGCACTGCCCTCAGATTTACCCAAGCTGATCAAGTCTAAATCAAATCCTTCCATATGCACGTAGAGCTCATGAGGCTGGGCGCGCGTCAATCGATGAATCTTTTCAAGACCTAAGAAAAAATCACCATGAAGGGAACCAAAGCCTTCACGATATGTGCTCCAATTCCTATAAAAATCCTCCTTGCTGTCCAGCCAGGACTTGCTGTCGCACTATCACAGAGAACATCGAAAGGACCTTCTTGATCTGGAGTAATCGTATGAATACCCGGAGCATCAGCAAAGTCGTTGCAGTCACTGTGAACGGGCTTCTCTTCACAGCTTTTAAGTTTCTTTTCACAAATGTTGATTTTGTCTTTGAGTTCTGATATTTGTTGGGCCTGTTGATCAATTGACTTCTTTTGATTCTCCAGTTGCACTTCATAGTCCGGGATTCTTAAGGGATTGGAAATAAGTTTACCAATTTCCTCTTTTATTGACAAAACTTCGTTAGTTAGCTCTTTGATACTCTGCTTGTAGAATTGATTCTGAGCTCTAAGCTCCTCAATGACCTGTTTATTATTTTGGTTAAGTTGCTTCTGCAGTTGCTTGATTTCTCTGTCTTTGCCTTCATCTGATGAATATACTTTAACAAAGGTCTCACAGCCTTATAGGTATGCTCTCCACATTCCTTCTCTGCTATTCTGGTTGCCACACAAGACTGATAAAAAGGAGTCTGAAATCTTTTTTGCAGTGCACACAAACATTGATAAGTAATTTTTCTTTTACCTAATTTTCGTTAAACACTGCTTCAGCTATGATCAGTATTAGGCTTATAAATATAATATGTATAAACATAAGACATTTCGTTTTGATAGCACTTTGATTTTGGAACTGAAATGCAAATCTCAACCGCACTCAACACCAGAACGAACGTAAATAGAGTGAACTACGGCAATTATTCGGAAGCTCATGTGCCCAATATTTGAGCAATTTAGGCGATTATCAGTAGGTCAGGAAGTCAATATAAATAAACAGAAGGCATGGATCAGGCCTTAAGGGACCTTCACTGAACTGTTGATAGATTGCAAATAGGAAAGTTCATTTGCTTTGGCTGCTTCTCGTTATCAGCTATTTTTATGAGACTAAAAAATAGTTGCTAACCGAGTCGAAATTCCAAAACGGAACATTATTATTAATTTTAAAAATTCGTATGTACAAAATAAACAAATTAGGGCCCTCTAGTGGGAAGTGTCACGGACATCGAATCCGCTCGTCGCCTTGGTCAAGAATATATATATCTTAATTTGTGATCGTAGATACTGCGGGTTACACATTATTGCGCAAAATCGATATACCCTTTTTCAGGTTATAAAGATGATAATTAACTAAAATGGAAATAAATAATATTAGAGCTAATATGAAAGACGCAGAAGAAGTTGGTTTAGCCACATCCCAATCTGTCCGTCTGTCTGCTTCTATGAAAACTAGTTCCCTAGTATATCCCTCGATATTAATATTATTATACCTTGAACCCATTGAAAAGGGGTATAATGTTTTTGTGCAAATGTATGTAACAGGCAGAAGGAAGCATCTCCGACCCCATAAAGTATATATATGCTTGATCGGCATCAAGAGCCGAATCGATCTAGCCATGTCCGTCCGTCCGAAATGTATGAAAGCAATGATATCAGAACCTGTAAGAGCTAGAGACTTGAAATTTTAGCTGTAGGCCCTTCTAGTGCCTGCGCAGGTGGAATTTGATTCCGATATCCAATAACTTGCCCCGTTTCCAAGCAATCGATAAAAATCGATATCGATATCCTGTTTTTTGCGCAAATTGGGTAAATAGTCTGTTAATTCTAGAATATTATGTGTGTATATATATATCAAGTATCGTACGCTGCATACGCATAGTATCACATCTTAAATTAAATTTGAAATGGGGTTATGGAAAAAGAGGCTGATCGGCTGCTTAAAAGAATAGTTCCATTTCCACTAAATAGTATGAGGTTCAGGGCATAAATAAACTGTTGAGAAATATATATGCCCTAAAAAATGGCCAGAAATCCTATAGTTAAATTTTATATAATTATAATTTCGGTATGCCTGGGAGGGTCCATGTGTCCATGTGAAATCTGATTGTTCGTTCAATAGATATTTATTTATATTTATTCAGATTCATTCTGACAAAGATAGATTTAATTTTACACATTTATCTAGACTGTAAAAATGTAAAACATCGCAGCATGTCTGACAAAGCCAAAAAAAAAAAAACTATAACACGTTTGTATTTTATTTTGGACAGTGTAAAAAGTGAGCACGTCAAGTGGCAAATTAATTTATTATTTTTGTGTTTGTTTTAACAAATGAACTTTTGCGCGTGTCATAAATGTAAAAATAATTATAAATGGATTTCGGTGTGCTATTATATTTTTTTCCTGCCACATGCCACACATGTTGACCGTGACAGAAAGGGAGCGGGTTGTGGAGGGGGGGAGGGGGATGTATTACAACTAGTGGCAACTTTTTGGACACGAAATTGTTCAAACTTTGCCGCTGTGTGCTTTAATTAAAAAACTAGCATAATATAAGCCCTTGCCACGCCCCAAACCCCTGTGTTGGCCCATTGCGTGCGGCGGCTAATTCTGGATACCCTGTTCAAGGCAAATATTTGGAATGGTTCTTCGAAGGCTATTTACGTGACACAAAATCAAAACGTAAATAAAATATATCTAAATCAGAAGGTAAGCATTTCACGCCGAGATTATAAATAGAGAAGAAAACTGAGTATTTTTCCAGGATAAGATTTCGACTCGCATATAAACAGAATAGTTCAATTGATAATTGCAAGGTTTGCTCAAGATATCTTAATAAATAAAAAAGTTTTCCATACAAGTACTTAACTTTCGACCGATTGTTCCTATGCAGCTATATGTTAAGTGATCCGATTCGGCTGGTTCCGACATATATATGTACTGCCCGCAATAGAATGACGGATCTAGACATAGAAACAGACAAACAGAAAGACTGACATGGCCAGATCGACTAGGCTGTTGTTGCTGATCTGGAATATATATATACTTTATGAGGTCGGACTCCTTCTATGCCTTACACATTTCATAGTAAAATTATAATACTCTCTTCAAGGACATCCAAAATAATTATTCGAGGCGTTGGACTAATCTCCTTCAAATACTTATTGGACTGTATGTTAGGGTACATAACATAAAAGAAATGGTCGCAAAATGTAACTGAAAAAAAATGGTTTTTATAAATTTTAATTTGACGGCGAGTTAATTAACTAACTACTGTGAACGAGTTGCGCGGAGGGCCACCATGTTGGAGGCATTCTGAAAGCCTGGTTGCAAAATCAATTAGGCAATAAAAGGACTGACAAACTGCCAGGGGGAGTGGGGCAAGGGTAGGGGAAGGGACTTGGTTACACATGTAGCCAAGTGAGTTGTCACAAAAAAAATAAAAAATAAACAAAAATAAAAGAAAGTTAAATAAAGGCAGGAAGAAGGCAAAATGCGTTTTTAATTTTCAACAACTGCCACAACGCCAGCTGAGCTTGTGGTTTCAGCTTCCAGTCATGGGGGTGGAAAAAGAGTGAAAAGGGCTTTGAGGGAGATGAGCGTTAGAGGGGGGGTGAGATTGTCAGTCACTTGGGCTCAGAGTTTCCTTGGCGCTGCTGCCTCTCAGGCTGACGGAGTGCCATTCACTTTGATGTTTCACTTTAACAGCCTCTCTCAGCGGCTGCCTCATGATTTTGCCTGAAATTATATTTTAACTGCCAGGGAGTCGCACCCTCTCCCTCTCTCTCCTTCTGTGTCACAGCCTCCCACTGGCTGCTGCTGCCACATGCGGCAACTGCATCATCTTGTTGGGTCATAAAAAGTAATGACAGCAAAATTTCACTCGCCTGCTCAGTCGCTCGATAATGACGAACGACGGCGCTGGCCGAGGCTGCTGATGCTGAGGGAGCGGATGGAAATCCGGAATGAGGACGGACGAGTGCAAAAAAGTAGCTGAAGTAGTCAAGAAGTAGATGCTCCTGTGCGTTGCATGCACTGCAAAAAATTGCCAGCCCTAAGTCTCAGCTGCGATGAAACATTGCAATAGCTCAAAAATGCCAGCTCCATTCAATTCACTTATCCAATACGGTCACACTTTAATCTGTAAATATGTTATGTTAGCTATCTAAAACCCATACATATAGTATACAACTTTTTGTTTTTCAACTGATCAAACGCATTTTCGAAGAGCAATCATTGAGAGCGTGTTAAACAGCTTTTGTAAAATCCACGTAGACGGTCGGAAAATGGGTGAAAGTCGATTGATTGAAATTTTTTAAAGATTTATACGAAAATCCATTTAACATATACTTAGCTATATGCTAAGAGCTCAGTTCTTTTGTAGGGAATGGGGTTCAAGGTGTCGGCAGGAATAAAATGAGAAGTGCGAGCGGAACAGAGGCAGACCGACAGACAAAGCCTGGCAACGCCGGGTACTGTTTGCTAATACAATGTGCATTTCTTATGATGTAATTGAGTTTTGTTATTATCAATTAGAAATGCTTCCACTAGAGTATATAATCTATACATGACACGGTGCATAGCCCAGTTTCTTGCAGTGTTGGCGTTCATCATCTTCAAAGATTGTGGCACCCTCAACAGTGCTTTGAGCTTGCACCATCCGCCGCTGCCTGCATCAGAGTGGCACTGTGTTTCCTGCCACAGCAGCAAGAGGAAACAATTATGAAAGCGACTGGCAGCACATTCAACTCCAGCTCTAGCTCCAGCTTCGGCTCCAACTCCAACTCGAGCCCAGCTCCAACTTCAGGTTCCAATTGGAAGGCAACGCCTGCACATGCAACGCCGTCTCCTGCTGCCAGTTAGCCCACGAATCTTTGTAATGGACGTTGCAGCAGCAGCAGCAGCTACTTTTGCCACGCCCGCCGCCCATACGACACCCGCCCGTCGCGGCGCGTGTTGCTCATAAGATAAAGATAATAGAAAAGTTGAATTTATAGCAAAACACTTTTCAATCATGCAACCAAAACGTGTGGCAGCAGCCCATGCCGAAACCGAGGCAACATAACGCCGACTCGAATCCTGAGTTTGGGCTCTGAAGCTAGGGACCTGGACCCTTCTCTCGTGGCAGGCAACGCCAAATCATTTCCGCAACACTTGCTTATTCACGTTCTTGTTGTTGTTCTTGTTCTTATTCATGTTGTTTTGTTTCTGAATAACGCCAAAGTTAATGGGCACTGCAATGGATTACTAAGCACATGCCGACTGTTAGATACCCTTTCTATGAATTGAGATCAATTTGGGTTTTGCAATTAAACAAGTTCATACTACGTAAGGGTTTCTCCCGATTGAGCTCAATTAGAATTCTGTCAAATGCATTCTTAACACTCGATTGATCGTCACGAGGTTAAGGAATCGAACTCGCCTTTACCATTTGGTATAGCATTTTAATACTATAATAGTTATTCAAAGTTATCTTAAACCTTGGAGTTAACAGACTTGCTAAGCAAATAAATAGCTCTCCGCTGGCAGGGTATGTTTAGTGTAACTGGTCGCTGTGTAAAAACATCTGCCAGCGGATATGCCTGGCCATCCGCTATGACCCACGGCCCATTCTCTGTAACCAGCCACCCAGCTGTATCTTGTAGATAAACTCGTGTGCCGCATACCGACCCACACACACACACTCGCACACTCGCATACACACAGCCCTCGGGGGATCTAACTGACTATTCATGCGTTTAAAATTTGCAATAGACCCCGACAAGAAAATGGGTAAAAGAAAATAAAGTAAAAAAAGAAAAAGAGGAAAAATATGATGAAAAGCGCCGCACGTTACATTTTACGTTAAAGCTTTGGCAAACAAGTTTTCCTTTGTTTTTATCTTCATGGCAGATTGAAGGAAAAGTCGCCTCAGGCAGCACCTGTTCTAATGGCTCTCGATGCTGTTTCACATATCCCCAGATAAAGTTTTACTGCAGCTCTCAAGTTGATCAAATGTGGAAAATGTTCTACTTACAATTCTTTAAACGACTGATATGTGAAAGGACTGTGAAAAGTATCGTAAATTTAACATGAAGACTTTCTCGCATTTAGGTTAGAAATCGATTGGGTTATAGCTGCTTAAAATACCATTCAGCTTCTAAAAGAAACTTCTCGTAAAAGTTTAGTTAAAAATTAAGATTCAATAAACATAACACCCATAGCCAAGCTGTCGATTGCGTGCATCTGGATGTCAAATGTTACAAGGCGCGTCATTTACATTGTAA